ATGTTTGAACTTGTTCGCCGAGAACATGTGCACAGCTGATTGCTATTTCCGGCTCAAATACAGACGGTAATCTTAATTAATTTATAGAGCAAAAATTGTAACTAAAATTACACAATGCTAGGATATATTTCTTTGGGTTAAATAATGGTATTCTGTATTATATTTTACTGATGACTGCGTCAGAATTCGTCCCGTTATATTATTGTGCATGTTTGAACTTGTTCGCCGGGAAACGTGTGCACAGCTGATTGCTATTTCCGGCTTTGTGTACGAGACAAATACACACGGTAATCTTAATCCCTGCAAATAATACAATGCCCAGCAAAAACGACTAATAACTTAAAAGGTAAATAATCTTGTCTAGTGATGTTTAATTGCAAATTTGACGTCTCTACTGACAAAGTCGTCTTCTGTTGTTTGTTCACGCGAAGTGATACGATGTTGTTTTCTTACCCCTGGAAAAATGTTTGACGAAAGCGTAACCAATGGATAAGACGACCCCCTTCTACAGACTGCTTATAGTCGGCCAATAGACGGTCATATATAATTTACTTGTAAGTTTGAAATACTATTTGCTATCATCAGCCAAGATAACTTCTTGAAATTCCATAAACTGTAGGTTTTAAAGGCATTATCCCACTTCTGGTCAAATGTATGTGATTAATAATAATAGTTAAAAATCTCTGTAAAATAGAATTATAGACCCAGTATATTCATAATTTACTCACAGATTTGAAATGCTAATCTATATCATCAGCCCACACAGCTTCTTGAAATTCCATAAACTGTAGGTTTTAAAGGCATTACCCCACTTCTGGTCAAATGCACGTGATTAATAATAATAGTTAAAAATCTCTGTAAAATAGAACTATTGACCCAGTACATTGATAATTTACTTGTAAGTTTGAAATGCTATTTACTATCATCAGCCAAGATAACTTCTTGAAATTCCATAAACTGTAGGTTTTAAAGGCATTATCCAACTTCTGGTCAAATGCACATGATTACAAATAATAGTTAAAAATCTCTGTAAAATATAACTATTGACCCAGTACATTAATAATTTACTTGTAGGTTTGAAATGTAATTTCTTATCATCAGCCAAGATAACTTCTTGAAATTCCATAAACTGTAGGTTTTAAAGGCATTACCCCACTTCTGGTCAAATGCACGTGATTAATAATAATAGTTAAAAATCTCTGTAAAACAGAACTATTGACCCAGTACATTGATAATTTACTTGTAAGTTTGAAATGGTATTTACTATCATCAGCCAAGATAACTTCTTGAAATTCCATAAACTGTAGGTTTTAAAGACATTATCCCACTTCTGGTCAAATGCACGTGATTCATAATAATAGTTAAAAATCTCTGTAAAACAGAACTATTGACCCAGTACATTGATAATTTACTTGTAAGTTTGAAATCCTTATCCTATCATCAGCCAAGATAACTTCTTGAAATTCCATAAACTGTAGGTTTTAAAGACATTATCCAACTTCTGGTCAAATGCACGTGATTCATAATAATAGTTAAAAATCTCTGAAAATTTGAATTATTGACCCAGTACATTAATAATTTGCTTGTAAGTTTGAAATGGTATTTACTATCATCAGCCAAGATAACTTCTTGAAATTCCATAAACTGTAGGTTTTAAAGGCATTATCCCACTTCTGGTCAAAGGCACGTGATTAATAATAATAGTTAAAAATCTCTGTAAAATAGAATTATAGACCCAGTACATTCATAATTTACTCACAGATTTGAATGCTAATCTATATCATCAGCCCAGACAGCTTCTTGAAATTCCACGAACTGTAGGTTTTAAAGACATTATCCCACTTCTGGTCAAATGCACGTGATTCATAGTAATAGTTAAAAATCTCTGAAAATTTGAATTATTGACCCAGTACATTAATAATTTGCTTGTAAGTTTGAAATGGTATTTACTATCATCAGCCAAGATAACTTCTTGAAATTCCATAAACTGTAGGTTTGAAAGGCATTACCCCACTTCTGGTCAAATGCACGTGGTTAATAATAATAGTTAAAAATCTCTGTAAAACAGAACTATTGACCCAGTACATTGATAATTTACTTGTAAGTTTGAAATGCTATTTCCTATCATCAGCCAAGATAACTTCTTGAAATTCCATAAACTGTAGGTTTGAAAGGCATTATCCCACTTCTGGTCAAAGGCACATTATTAATAATAATAGTTAAAAATCTCTGTAAAATAGAATTATAGACCCAGTACATTAATAATCTACTTGTAAGTTTGAAATGCTATTTCCTATCATCAGCCAAGATAACTTCTTGAAATTCCATAAACTGTAGGTTTGAAAGGCATTATCCCACTTCTGGTCAAAGGCACATTATTAATAATAATAGTTAAAAATCTCTGTAAAATAGAATTATAGACCCAGTACGTTAATAATTTACTTGTAAGTTTGAAATGCTATTTACTATTATCAGCCAAGATAACTTCTTGAAATTCCATAAACTGTAGGTTTGAAAGGCATTACCCCACTTCTGGTCAAATGCACGTGATTAATAATAATAGTTAAAAATCTCTGAAAATTTGAATTATTGACCCAGTACATTAATAATTTGCTTGTAAGTTTGAAATGGTATTTACTATCATCAGCCAAGATAACTTCTTGAAATTCCATAAACTGTAGGTTTTAAAGGCATTATCCCACTTCTGGTCAAAGGCACGTGATTAATAATAATAGTTAAAAATCTCTGTAAAATGAATTATAGACCCAGTACATTCATAATTTACTCACAGATTTGAATGCTAATCTATATCATCAGCCCAGACAGCTTCTTGAAATTCCACGAACTGTAGGTTTTAAAGACATTATCCCACTTCTGGTCAAATGCACGTGATTCATAGTAATAGTTAAAAATCTCTGAAAATTTGAATTATTGACCCAGTACATTAATAATTTGCTTGTAAGTTTGAAACGCTATTTACTATCATCAGCCAAGATAACTTCTTGAAATTCCATAAACTGTAGGTTTGAAAGGCATTATCCCACTTCTGGTCAAAGGCACATTATTAATAATAATAGTTAAAAATCTCTGTAAAATAGAATTATAGACCCAGTACATTAATAATCTACTTGTAAGTTTGAAATGCTATTTCCTATCATCAGCCAAGATAACTTCTTGAAATTCCATAAACTGTAGGTTTGAAAGGCATTACCCCACTTCTGGTCAAAGGCACATTATTAATAATAATAGTTAAAAATCTCTGTAAAATAGAATTATAGACCCAGTACATTGATAATTTACTTGTAAGTTTGAAATGCTATTTCCTATCATCAGCCAAGATAACTTCTTGAAATTCCATAAACTGTAGGTTTGAAAGGCATTATCCCACTTCTGGTCAAAGGCACATTATTAATAATAATAGTTAAAAATCTCTGTAAAATAGAATTATAGACCCAGTACATTAATAATCTACTTGTAAGTTTGAAATGCTATTTCCTATCATCAGCCAAGATAACTTCTTGAAATTCCATAAACTGTAGGTTTGAAAGGCATTATCCCACTTCTGGTCAAAGGCACATTATTAATAATAATAGTTAAAAATCTCTGTAAAATAGAATTATAGACCCAGTACATTAATAATTTACTTGTAAGTTTGAAATGCTATTTACTATTATCAGCCAAGATAACTTCTTGAAATTCCATAAACTGTAGGTTTTAAAGGCATTACCCCACTTCTGGTCAAATGCACATGATTAATAATAATAGTTAAAAATCTCTGTAAAATAGAACTATTGACCCAGTACATTAATAATTTACTTCTAAGTTTGAAATGGTATTTACTATCTTCAGCCAAGATAACTTCTTGAAATTCCATAAACTGTAGGTTTGAAAGGCATTATCCCACTTCTGGTCAAAGGCACGTGATTAATAATAATAGTTAAAAATCTCTGTAAAATAGAATTATTGACCCAGTACATTAATAATTTGCTTGTAAATGGAAATTAAAGTCAATTATACAGTGTGATAGCAAAAAAACAATTGCCTGAACACAATGCGACAGTACTAACCTAAATATACTGTAGAACGTTGAAGTTGAACGAAAAGTTGCATCCAAGGAAGTCTTGAAAAACACGTCCTCACTCAGTGAGTACAGAGGAAAATATGATATGGGTAGAGATTCACTGGCAGGAGAACAGTCGAGGGAAGTAATCGGAAGGGGGCAAGGGTTATCTAGGTAAGGATTACCTCCCTTTGTTATAACATTTTTTTATTTTTTATCTAAGGGAGTCTGTAACACATCACCAAGTGACGGAGGAAAAGGCTATCAAAACCCAGAGGTAAGTTTACTTATAATTACAGACAATACTCATGATTGTTCGTGTTAGCTACATACTTGCAGAGGAATATGGAAATATGTAACTGATAATTTTCAGTGTCTCCTCACAAAAACTAAATCATATTCCGCGCATAGATCGCCTTAAGTTTTAGAGTTAACCGGGAGCAGTACTGCAGTAAATAGGGTTTTACGAAATTGTGGACTGTTTATCCCAGTTCTGGTCTGTCCCAGTTCTGGTCTCTACATATGTGCAATTACTCAGGCGACACTGCAGTGTTGAAAGTATGAACGTTGACAAAATACTCCCAATAAGCCAAGTTCCAAAGGCTGCTCGCTATGATTTTCTGCTGTTATTTAGAACATTCGTAATATAAGCATATACGATAAAAGTTTATAACAAAAATTATCAAAGAACAAAAAATCAGTTTCGGGTATGACGGAGGGTGTTATGTCAAACAGCAAGTTCTACACACCCCTCAAATTTAATAATATATTTTATACAAATAAGATTTCTATGCATCTTCCAGTCAAAAGTAAACCTTTTACAATTTTGCTGATGTCTAAAATTGGAATGCAGGCGGCAAGCTATGAGGATGTGTACGCATATTGTTCAACATTCAGGTCAGGACTTGCTCATGGCTATTTATAGATCATAACGTAAACACTTGATTTTAGAGAGAAGCTTTCTATTTTCTGTTTGAAAAGAGATTGCTTGACATGGGATTGTTACTCTTTCTGTGGTCTTTTACATAACTAATCATCTCCTTGGATTTCCATGTAAGTATGGAGTTTATTCTGTAAGCTGAAACAGTCTAGATATGAGGTCGATTAGACAAGGAAGTAAAAGGAAGAGAACCATTATCATATGAAGATTCAGTGTATGTGTGTGAGTGTTTCACACTTATGAGGACATCACATTTTGTTCAGAACATTATATGTATGTGCTACTTTCTCATTTTCAGTGATCATGCCGAAACTATCTGAAAATCAATTTTTTTGTAACTTTATTTCTTTTTGCCAGTACATGTTTTACAATAAAGGGTAGTTCATGGTTCAATACACAAAATATCTAAACAAGGGCATCATTCTAGCCACATGATGGTGTTCTGTAAATAATAAAGTCTGGACCAGACATGACAGTGACAGTGTAAATAATAAAGTCTTGACCAGACATGCCAGTGACCGACATTATCTTCTGACAAACATTGGTTGCGAGAGACAGTTTCTAAGCCGGATGTTCACAGGTTAGGTATAGTGATCTCAAGATAACTCGATTATTTAGTGTATCTAGGTGCCTCTAACGCTGACATTTCCGTGCCTTTTCCGCCCAGTATGTTGAACACCTTACTTAATATTCCAACAATATTCTGAACGTCTGTACTGCCTCAAACCATAAACAACCAGTGAAAGATATTATGAACAAAACAACTTTGGGTGCTTGTTGGTCCACACCTAAATCTGAGATCCATCAACTTGCCTTGAGTGACTAGGTTACTAGGCACCGATTCTAACATTGTGTGGCCACCATCTATTACTAGGCACCGATTCTGATATTGTGTGACCACCACAGGATCCTTGGCACCAAATCTAACCTTGTGTGACCACCACAGGTTACTAGCCACCAAATCTAACCTTGTGTGACCACCACAGGTTACTAGGCACCAAATCTAACCTTGTGTGACCACCACAGGTTACTAGGCACCAAATCTAACATTTTGTGACCACCATATAGGATACTTGGCAGCAATTCTAACCTTGTGTGACCACCTGACCACCATAGTACTAGACTCCAATTCTACCCTTGTGTGACCACCATATGTTACTAAGCACCAATTCTGCCCTTGTGTGACATAAACAAATATATGTAATGGAAAGCTTGAAGCATCAACAGTCACAGAGTCCCATCACTTTGGTGAAAACAGACCACCTCTGGTAACTGCTCTTAAAGATCATTATGTCTCGAACATGTAACAAGGTTGTCTGTTGTTTAAAGCTGTAACTTTCCAGCGATAATATGGCGTTCTGTAAATAATCAAGAGTGGCCCGGACACTACAGTGACTGACATTATGCACAGGTTAGGTATAGTGATCTCAAGATAACTCGATTATTTAGTGTATCTAAGTGCCTCTAATGCTGACATTTCCGTGCATTTCTGCCCAGTATGTTGAACACCTTACTTAATATTCCAACAATATTCTGAACGTGTGTACCTGCCTCAAACCATAAACAACCAGTCGAAGATAATATGAACAAAACCACTTTGGGTGCTTGTTGCTCCACACCTGAATCTGAAATTCATTAACTTGCCTTTCGTGACTACCTCAGGTAATAGGGCACCAATTCTACCCTTGTGTGACCACAATATGGTTACTAGGCACCAATTCTACCCTTGTGTGACCATCATAGTTTACTAGGCACCAATTCTACCCTTTGTGTGACCACCATAGGTTAATAGGCACCAATTCTACCCTTGTGTGGTTACCACACCAATATGGTTTACTAGGCACCAATTCTACCCTTGTTGTGTGACCACCATAGGTTAATAAGCACCAATTCTACCCTTGTGTGACCACCATATGGTTACTAGGCACCAATTCTACCCTTGTGTGACCATCTTAGGTTACTAAGCACCAATTCTACCCTTGTGTGACCACCATAGGTTACTAGGCACCAATTCTACCCTTGTGTGACCATCTTAGGTTACTAAGCACCAATTCACCAATTCCACCATAGGTTACTAGGCACCACCATAGGTTGACTAGGCACCAATTCTACCCTTGTGTGACCATCATAGGTTACTAAGCACCAATTCTACCCTTAGGTTACTGTGACCATCATAGGTTAATAAGCACCAATTCTACCCTTGTGTGACCATCTTAGGTTACTAAGCACCAATTCTACCCTTTGTGTGAACATCTTAGGTTACTAGGCACCAATTCTACCCTTTGTGTGACCATCTTAGGTTACTAGGCACCAATTCTACCCATTGGGTTACTAGGCACCAATGTGTGACCACCATAGGTTACTAGGCACCAATTCTACCCTTGTGTGACCATCTTAGGTTACTAGGCACCAATTCTACCCTTGTGTGACCACCATAGGTTACTAGGCACCAATTCTACCCTTGTGTGACCACCATAGGTTACTAGGCACCAATTCTACCCTTGTGTGACCATCTTAGGTTACTAGGCACCAATTCTACCCTTGTGTGACCATCATAGGTTAATAAGCACCAATTCTACCCTTGTGTGACCACAATATGGTTACTAGGCACCAATTCTACCCTTGTGTGACCATCATAGGTTAATAAGCACCAATTCTACCCTTGTGTGACCACAATATGGTTACTAGGCACCAATTCTACCCTTGTGTGACCATCTTAGGTTACTAAGCACCAATTCTACCCTTGTGTGACCATCATAGGTTACTAGGCACCAATTCTACCCTTGTGTGACCACAATATGGTTACTAGGCACCAATTCTACCCTTGTGTGACCATCTTAGGTTACTAGGCACCAATTCTACCCTTGTGTGACCATCTTAGGTTACTAGGCACCAATTCTACCCTTGTGTGACCATCTTAGGTTACTAGGCACCAATTCTACCCTTGTGTGACCACCATAGGTTACTAGGCACCAATTCTACCCTTGTGTGTGACCATCATAGGTTACTAGGCACCAATTCTACCCTTTTGTGTGACCATCTTAGGTTACTAGGCACCAATTCTACCCCCTTGTGTGACCATCTTAGGTTACTAGGCACCAATTCTACTACCCTTTGTGTGACCACCATAGGTTACTAGGCACCAATTCTACCCTTGTGTGACCATCTTAGGTTACTAGGCACCAATTCAACCTATTGTGTGACCAGCATAGGTTACTAGGCACCAATTCTACCCTTGTGTGACCATCATAGGTTACTAGGCACCAATTCTACCCTTGTGTGACCATCTTAGGTTACTAGGCACCAATTCTACCCTTGTGTGACCATCTTAGGTTACTAGGCACCAATTCTACCCTTGTGTGACCATCATAGGTTAATAAGCACCAATTCTACCCTTGTGTGACCACAATATGGTTACTAGGCACCAATTCTACCCTTGTGTGACCATCTTAGGTTACTAAGCACCAATTCTACCCTTGTGTGACCACCATAGGTTACTAGGCACCAATTCTACCCTTGTGTGACCATCTTAGGTTACTAGGCACCAATTCTACCCTTGTGTGACCACAATATGGTTACTAGGCACCAATTCTACCCTTGTGTGACCATCTTAGGTTAATAAGCACCAATTCTACCCTTGTGTGACCACAATATGGTTACTAGGCACCAATTCTACCCTTGTGTGACCACCATAGGTTACTAGGCACCAATTCTACCCTTGTGTGGCAACCATAGGTTACTAGGCACCAATTCTACCCTTGTGTGACCACCATAGGTTACTAGGCACCAATTCTACCCTTGTGTGACCATCTTAGGTTACTAGGCACCAATTCTACCCTTGTGTGACCACAATATGGTTACTAGGCACCAATTCTACCCTTGTGTGACCATCATAGGTTACTAGGCACCAATTCTACCCTTGTGTGGCAACCATAGGTTACTAGGCACCAATTCTACCCTTGTGTGTCACCATAGGTTACTAGGCACCAATTCTACCCTTGTGTGACCATCATAGGTTACTACGCACCAATTCTACCCTTGTGTGACCATCTTAGGTTACTAGGCACCAATTCTAACCATGTATGATTTGTTGTTTAACGCCTGACAATGTAATTTACAGATTGACGTCATATAGCTGTAATATAGTGAAGTGTGCCAGCGGTGTTAAACAGCAAACAAAAGTATTGAAATAACAGAACTACCTCTTGCCTGAAACAATGTTTTACTGAAAAGTGCTGTGGATCACCTTAATTGTAGAGCACTAGAAGTTTTCAGATCACATCCCCACCCCAAGGATGGGTACCTGACATACAGTTCATCCTTGTTTAGTGGCTGATGGAAGCAATGATCTTCAAAGTTCTTTTTTCAGAGAGGTGTATTGACTTGAAAAACTATTCTTTAATGTTGACACAATTTCTGTTTCAGTTACTGTCCAGTGATCCTATCAGACTGCGCACATTCAAGCCATGGCGACAGCCCCCGCTAAGTATGTGATATTTGATATGAATGCTAATGGGGACTCCAAAGCAGGGATGAGAGAGAAAAGAAAGCATCACATTGCAAATGTGTTAAAGTCAGAAAGCCCCCTGGTGGTTTTCCTCCAAGAATTTCTCTGGAAGGGTATTCATTCGAAACCATGGGAAGAGTTTGGTATTCCCGACCATTTTCAGTATGAAGGCCACAATGAAGCAGGTTTCATATTTGATACAAGGGAAATCACATACTTGAGGATTGACAACAAAACATCGGTGCGAAACATGTATGACACCATGGTGAAGGAAAGTGACATGGGCTCAGACTACTTTGAGCTGCCAAGACTTTGCGTCTATAAAATAGAGAGCAAAGGAGCTCCTAATTTTGAGATCCTCTGTGCCAGTTGGCATGGTCCTTATAAGGTGTCTATGGAGAAAAAGCAAAAGGCCCTTGATACATTGGTCAAGTTTCTTTTGAAACTGAAAGTGGAAGAGGAGAATATTCCACTCTTGCTTGGGGGTGACTTCAACATGTCAGCATCTGCTGTGAAGAATAGACTCCCTTCGAATGACAGTTTGATGCTAAACACGCCAGGTGACTCGTCTATAGATATGTTCATCGTGAGCTCCGATATAATGCAACTATTTAGCGTTTCAAAAGTTGATACCATGAAAAGTAATGAAGCGTTTGACCATTTGCATTTGAAAATATATTTAATCCCTAAAGAACAAACAGGGGACGAAAGGCCACAACGTCCTCCTGAAGCGGAAAGAGGGAACAAAGTGGCACAAGGTCCTCGTGAAGACCAAACAGGGGACGAAGGGCCACAAGGTCCTCCTGAAGCGGAAAGAGGGGACGAAGGACCACACGGTCCTCCTGAAGCGGAAAGAGGGGACGAAGGGCAACAAGGTCCTCGTGAAGACCAAACAGGGGACGAAGGGCCACAAGGTTGTGAACAAACATTGCCACCAACGAAGAAGAAAGCATCGCCATCAGAGGATGAATCCAAACAGAAAACTAAAGGCCAAGAAGGAATGAGCCCTGAAAAACAAACAGAGGACGAAGGACCACAAGGTGCTCATGAAGAGGAAACTGGGGACGAAAGGCCACAAGGTCCTACAACAGAGGACACAGGGGATGAAGGGCCACAAGGTTTGCTACCAAAGCTCTAAAAGAACAAATCGGGCTGACACAGTCTAGTGGTGATGCTCTTAAGTGGACTATTGCATCAGTCATAGGCTACTTGGGACCAATATAACCCAGAATCCCTACAAACAATGGTGGTGTTGATTTTAAATGTATTTGGGAACATTTCATAGTATAGGGGCATCCCTCTCATCCTGTATGGAGGTATTCTGATTCAATAATGCATGTAGAGGATTCCATCATACATGTGCTAAATTTTCAATGTTGATCTATGCTGAATAATTGTGGGATTGGTTGGTAACTTGCAGTACAATGAAAAAGAGTAGTCCACAATGAGTGGTAGAATGGAGTGGCGAGTGGGTCTGAGAATCTAGCTTCATGGAATGGAGGCATTGAACAATGGATAATCAAAGATCGTGTTAGTCGCTTCTTACGACAAGCATGGGTTACTGAAGGCCAATTCTAACCCGGATCTTCACGGGTGTCGGCACTGTGAAAATGTCCAATTTCCTAAATGTTTGTATCCAAACATATACTCATAAACATGAAAAAGAAGACATTTACTAGAACTAGCAAAAGTTCTAGTAAATGTCTTCTTTTTCATGTTTATGAGTCTTTCTCAAAATTCATGCATAATTATGTTATATGTTTGTACCCGACAAACTTAAGTCAAAATCAATAAAAAAATTATGGTAACCAATGTATCTCAGTTTAGTCTACCCTTTACAGTAACAAAATTGGAAAAGATATTTTTGTATTTATTCTCTCTCTCTCTCTCTCTCTCACACACACACACACACACACACACACACCAGTGGGCGATATGCAATTTGATTTTTGTTGTTGTCTATTTCCTATTTGTCAATAGAAAGCATTTAAATGATGTAACAGCTACATGTTTAAGCCTTTTTTGTATTGAAAATCATTTTCTAGAAAAGAGGTCAAACTTTGTCACAAGGTTTGATGTCACAACCGTAACCCTTCCCCCCACCCACCCCCAAATTGCAATAACGATTACACCCTGTACTGTCTTCTAATTCTACTTCATGTTTGCAAGCAATGGCAGTGAGGAAACATGGCTGTCAAACACTGACACAAAAAAATTCAAATTGTGTGTATAAAATGATATCTGAGATTTTTGCATGTCCTAACCGTTACGGTGGTTACCATTGAAACCAGTTAATTTTGTGAAGTACCTTAGACAGTAGGGGAAATCATTTGAAACCATGTGCTCAGTAAACTTTGGGGACCAGTTATTGTTTGAAAACTGATATTGTTAGTGGCTGTCACTACCGTTACGGTCACTGCCGTTATCATGGGTTTTGTTACGGTAAGGACAGATTTTGTGACGGCAGTGACATTTTTCTAGTTTAATCTTGTTTTTATCTAAATTTTCAATTCAAAGATACCAAATGTTTTGGAATATTATTTAACATAAAACTTTCGTATCAAATGAATATAATCAATAATCATATAAGTATGATTGTGTTGTTACGGTTAGGACAGGGTGGGGTAACGGCTGTGACAAAGAAGAACACGGATGTGATAGGGCCAATACGGTAGAGACATTATATACCGCCACAATGTCACTGTCGTAACATGCAATCTTTACCTGTTTTTTACATGACAGGGACATCTACAAGTAAATCTTTTGCCTATTACATATTCTTCAAACATTCTGAAATATCTGACTGACAAATTTCACTAAATTATCTTTTAAAGTAAACATACAAAACTGGCTATTAATAAAAATGTCACTACCGTTATTGTGTCACTACCGTAACAATTAATGCCAATGTCCACGCCATAACATTATCATTTTCCTTATTTAATTAAAATTGATTTATCTGTTTATGTCTGAAATTTGTAGTGCAAGTATGTTTGGTAGTAGAGCTAGTAAGTAGTAAGCATACTATAATTCATATTCTCATTGTGAAATTTTTGCTACATTTTACTTTATATTTGCAAATCAGAAAAAAAAGGATATTGTTTGGCTTGTTGGCCCCTTTTAAGCAATAAATATATATTTTCAAAACTCATTGGCCATGTTATGTTGCAAAAATAGATATTTTAAGATATATCATCCTTGGATTTTTGTTAGATATACACTTGTGGAGGAAGGGGGTGGGGCATAGAGAGAGAGGGATGGAAGGAATGAGGGATGGATTGAGTGAGAATGATTAAAGGAGGGGTGCGGTGAGTGAGAGGTATGGAGGCATGGAATTGATGGATGATGGATTGAGTGCGAGACTTGATGGGGTTGTGTGGGATAGAATGGATGGACGGATGTCTTAAATTAGAGATGATGGGAAGGAGTGTGAGATAGAAACAAGGAAGAATAGAATGGATGGATGGCTTAAATTAGAGATGATGGGAAGGAGTGAGAGATGGAAACAAGGAAGGATGGATGGATGGCTTAAATTAGAAGATAAAGCTTCTCTGTTTTCAATTTTGCGGTCCTTTATTGTTGATTTAAGACCGCTAAATGTAATTTAAAAACCGAACGTGAGGTTTTAAATTAAACATTTAGCGGTCTTGATTCAACGATAAAAGACCGCAAAAATGAAAACAGAGTAGCTTTATCTTCATTCTAGCACGACTGATAAGCGTTTTAAAACCGAACTGTTTGGCGCGCAACAGCCCAAGGCGCAAAGGGGCGTTTTTCCTGGAAATCGCTTGGAATCGTCCCGTTCAGGGACAGGTTGTGTAATGAACAAAATAAGACATTTTCAACAACGTAAATGCTTTATTTCAGGAAGCAGTATGCTTGTATCTGTAACAAGTAGCATACATAATTAAACAAAATACAGTTTATACTGTGAGCAAGTAGATTTTCTCAAGCGAATTATTGATCTCCCCTACTGTATGACAATCGACTCGCCCAAATGCAAGTCATGAACTCGCTAAGTTTAGTCGCCGCTAACTTTATTCACGGAAATAATTGTTGATAACCACCGTACTATTCCCAATTTGGAAAAGACCTGACATGCCACGTTTTATGTGGGATACATGGACAGTTGAAGTGGAAGGACTGTGCATTACGGCCGGGACGGAAGCGGTCAGGTTAGGGCGTGTCGGCCGACGTGTGTTGTCGACGTCAACACACGTAGATCTGGACCCGGTTTGAATATACTGCCGCTTTAGCGCTGCTGACGGATTTTCCAGCTTCGTAGTTTCTTCACTGGGATTAGGGTCAAGAATTATTTCTTCAAACCATTCGCTTTTTACTTAAAAACACCAAAGATGCTGCCCGAGATAGAAATTGTCGATGTCCGACATGTTTGTTTACAAACAATAGGGTCAACGAGTTCAGTGTATTCATAAGCGGTGAATCAGTCTTTTAATAGCGGTCTTAAACTGCCATTTAAGTACGGTTTAGATGAGCTCTCAGCCAATCCGAATCGAGTATCACACAATGTCGTGCTAGAATGTTTGTTTATGGTTGGGTCTTTACATTGAAATTGAGTTTGAATATGCTTTTGATAAAAACTAAAATGATAGGAAGGTTCTCAAAAAAATGTGGAGGAAAAACTGATTTTATTGTATTTTTCGAGTTTTGATAAATGTTTTATTATTACTATTTCATTCACGACTGTAAATATAGTTCACTTCAGTTCAGATATCAGCTTTGTTGGGGGTCAAAAGGAAGTAGTGCGGCAGTGTTGTATACTGAAGCGGTCATAAAATCAGCCGCATTTACAGTCCAAATTGATTGTCCAATCAAATTTGAGTATTTCACATAGTCATGGTAGAATGAGGGATTACACTCACTTTATTTTTTCTTGAAATATGATATACTAGTGTCCTTATGTATATATAATTGATTCCATATTGTCTTCAGATGTTGCATGCTTTGTGCATTCATAATTTGGATGTATAAGATGATGTAAAACTGTCGTGATTTGTGAAGAAAAAAAGAAAATGTTCAAGTATCCATTATATGCTTCCGATATTTGATTTAAGTTGTAATGCATTTAGTAGTATATACAATGGGGGTACGAAATCACTTTCAACAAAAGCCTCTGCAAATCCTTATTTCACAAATAAAGCTTTTGTCAGGCCCTTAGATCTCACCCCATTACCCCTACTATTATAAAAAAAGTTTGAGACGCCAGCGGGATACGAACCCCACATGTATACCTCACAGCTGCACCACTCAACCGACTGAGCTACCGGGGACTTAAATGCGTATGTTTGTTTAATGGGTCTATCCTGAGATAGCGAACTAGCACTTTCCTGATCATGTGACATGTCGTGTTGACAGGATACTATATTGGGATTACTTGGTAAGTGTTAAATATTTTGCTTGGGGGGTAACATTGTGCCGTACGGTATGACTAATAATTCCTGTCTAACAAACCCTCTCCCTGGCCCATCTCTCAAGTAGTACAAGTTCGGCTCATCGGATTTCATGTCCACTATGTTGTAAGTTTTGACTGACCATATAGGATCAGTGGCTCGCTTACGGCTATCACCCTCGTGTTCCCCCGGCTGGTATAGAGACCTCACTAGGGCCCTATCTGGTATCTGTTTCTCTTTCCCACGCAATGGAGCAGTCGACTCTGCTACTATTGATTTTAGTTTGATAGCGTCTGCCGGTTTCTTGCCGGTGAGACGGGTGGCTTCATGGTTGATTGCCGACACCACCTTAGGTAGCCACGCGACCCATTCAGTCGATCGCTTCCCCGGGGAGGCCATCTCTCTCGCATACTGATGTCCGAATAAGCGCTCAGCCAAAGTCCTATTGAATCTCTCAACTATGGCTTGGCTGCGATGGGCTCCGGCCGTGCCACGCCTGACCTTTGTATCGTAATTGTCTAACAGGTGTGACACGACACCCATGAACTCCGGCCCGGGGTCAACTTGCAGCTCTTGCAACTTGCAGCTCAACTGCGCTTGTATATGCGTTCAAATCCTCGGGCTACCTGGGCAGGGTCCTTCGCGGTCAAGGGTTCGGCTTCCTTATACAGGCTGGCCACATCCACGATAGTCAGGGCATACTTGTACCTCTTATCGTGGGGTAGGAATAGGAGGTCGGCCTGGTGAACGCTATTGGGTATGTTAATACCAAACTTCCTTCTAGGCACGTAGCGTGGTGCTGGTAAATAGATCTGCCACAGGGCTTGTTTTTCAAGCCACTCTTTGGCCTCCTCCGGGGGTACTCGCGCCATTTTAGCCAGCTTATGTACAGCGCTAGCTCCTTTCCAGTACCCATGCGGGCTGTAGTAAATAGCCTCAAACTTTCTCTGGTTCCGTGACATGTCACCCCGACATTTATATATACATCTATGTTCTTGGTTCAATTTGCTCATGCCCGTACGCGTACGTGTTTATCCCATCAATAGCTATCCAACGTTTAGTGTCCATCGGCGACAGGGATGTCTTGTTTATAGTCAGTCCGTATATCCTATGCCCATCACTTCTAAGCGTGTTCATTTTATGCCTGAAGGTACGGGTCTTGAACAGGGCTTCCTTGAATCTGGCGTGTTTGATGTGTTGTTTCACCACATACTTCTTAACACCT